ATTCGAATCTTCTCGCTGCGGCGCGTCGAATGGTATCAAAATCATGATTTTAGAATCGATAAAAAAAAAATTACATCGGCAAAACTATTTGATAATAAATTCAATAATTACCGACTATCTATCGATCCTAGAAACATGATTTAGTCACCATTCGACGCGTCTCGCTGAGACGATTCGAATGGTGGTGGTTTCATCCTTTTATGATCACTGGATGACGAGATATTCCGCTTAAACGCTTTTTTCGGAGTTTCGGAGTTTCAGCGTTTTGACAAGCAACTCTACAAGTGGGAATTATTTATTGGTTTGGAAATGGCCGGTCTTTATATTATTTTATGAAGACCTTTGTCAGATTAATAGGTTTATTCAATATAAAAATCATTTATTATATGAAGACCGGTATGAGGACTGGTCGGTCCTCAGGACCGGTCCTACTGCGCCACAAAAAAATGCAAGACCGCGGTCCGGTCCTACAAGTCCTGGGACCGACCGGTCCAGGACCGAGTAGGACCGGTAGGACCGATGACCATCCTTATAGTTCAGGCATTTCTAGTCTATATATTCTTCGTCAAGAATCGCCTCGTGTTCCTTTGTCGCAAGGGTCGTCGAGGCCAAGGTCAAGATCAGCCATCTCCCCTAACCTCGCCATTTTTTTGCGTAGGAGTTCATCATGGATCAGGTGATTCGAGTTTATATCGGAGTTGTTATCATCAGAACAGAATTGGAAGAACTTGCTGACGTTTTATTCTGGCTTTCTTCATCCTCAGAACTGTCATCGGATATCTTAATAAAAGCGTCATCAGCCTCGACTCAGCCTTTGGCTCGTAATCGGCTGTCCTGGATGAGTAACGTGGCGCATTTACGACAGAATTTTCAATCACATGACTTCGATTGTAAACAATGGTTTTGCTCGTTTTTTTACGAATTTTCCGATTTCTTTCTAACGTGATCGATTTTCGAATTGACTTGATCTATAATATATCGAATTTGGGGATTAATGAATCTTGAAATACTAAATTACTATCGGCACTACATGTAACTCGATGAATCCCATACCATTAAACTTTTTCAGTGTTTAGTATATCATATTACTACAGGAACCGTTAGAGTATCTGAACATTATAAATTTATAATCACAAAAAAGCCACTGAAAAACCTCTCTAAAAAACACCATTAGTTAAATTATATGTTAAAAGTTAGTGCTGCATTGCAATTTTTTGATTTATTTCCATGATGTATTTTTTTAATTGGCATTGCTAAATCTCATCGCAGGTGATTCTCACTGCACCAGCATTAGCAAATATTAACGGGCAGGGTTTCATGACATTTTTAATTCTGCCCAAATTTCTACCCTAATTCTGGTAAGTTGACAGTCACCAGCGGTGATATTTAGCAATACTCTGCTTAGGGTTGGTAAAATAACCGTTAGTTATGAATTTGGTTAATTAACCGGTTAATTAACGGTTAGTTAACGGTTAATTAACCCATAAATAACCTGTATATATAATTTTAAGGAAGTTAAAATAAATTTATAATTTATTAAATATTATAAAATTTTAATATATTTTATTTATTCTTCATCATCTAAATTAATAACATTTGCTTCAAATCCAAATATACTATCATTATCAGAACTATTATTATTATCATCTTCTTTATTTTCATTATCAGAACTATTATTACTATCTTCTTCATTTTCATTAAAATTACTAATCTGTTTCTTTTTTTGTATTTTTACAAGTCTATTACACATTCGAAGATTTCCATAAATATAAACTAATTTTTTAACACGTTCATTTTTCAATCTATTTCGAATTTTATTATGAATAAAACCAAAAGTAGAAAAATTTCTTTCTGCAGCTGCAGAAGATGTAGGAATTGAGAGAATTTTAATAGCCAGTTGTTGAAGTTTACTAGTTGGCCATGATTGCCACCATAAAGATGAATTAAGAATATTAGCAGATTTCCAAATAATTTCATTATCATAAGGTGAATTTTTATTACGAAAATTTACCAATTCAGCAAATAATTCTACTGCTTCTTCCTGATTAAATCTTTTATTTACAAATGTTGTAAATTCTACATAACCAATAGATTCAACTTCATCATTTTTACTTTTTTCCAAAAATTGTGGATCTAACATATAAGCTGTTATCATAATAGGATGATAAGTATATTCCCATCGCTTTGCAATAAGTTCTTGAAGTTTATCAGAAAAATTACAATCTATTTGATTAATTTGATTCATTACTTCTTTGAAATATGAATAAACATTTGAAAGAATTGAAATATCTGATTCAAATAACTTTAATGCTGAAACCATTGGTTCCATAATTTTTGTTATTATATCTAAATCTTCCCAAAACTCATCTGATAAAATATGAGCTCTTAAAGTTAAATCCATATTTTGACGAATTCTTATATCCATTAAAGCCTGTTCAAGTGCTGTTCTTGAATTTTGAAGTGATTGAAAACAAGCAAGATGTGTTCCCCATCTTGTAAGTGCTGGTAAAACCAATGCAATTTCTTTAGAATAATTTTCTTTTTGAATATGTTTCAATTTAGCTGTTGCCTGTACATGTGCCTTAAAATAATTGACCAACTTTTTTGCATTTTCAACAACAGATTTAATTTGATCAATCTTTAAAATATCACTAATTAAAAGATTCATTACATGAGAATTACATCCTAAACAAACAATACTTGGATAACTATCTTCAATAATTCGCCAAGCTGCTTTCATTACACTAGCTGTATCTGTAATAACTGCTGAAAATTTATTAATACCAACAATTTCCATTTGTTTAATAATTTCATCTGCAACCCATTTAGCTGTATGAGATTCTTCACCAGAATAAATAGCATCAAAGAATAATGGTTTTGGAGTACAAATAACAAAATTTTGAACTGATTCTCGATTAATATTAGACCAACCATCTGAAACCATTGTAAGAGATTTAGCTTGTAAAATTTGTTCATTACATTCAGCTTTAACTTCATCAAAAACATCATCAAGTAATTCATCAGCAAGTTTTCTTCGATTAGGTAATTTGAATGCTGGACGTAATTGTTGAAAAAACTGAATAACATAATTATTTTCAAGAAAAGAAAAAGGAACTCCAGCAGCAAATAATGCTTGAGCTAGTAAAATTTCAAGAGTATCTTGTTCTTCTTCACTCATACGATCAACAAAATTCTCAATTGTTGTATTTTTTAAATGCTTTTTTGATGTTTTTACTGTAGGAATAAAAGTAGAAGTAGTAGCATCAGAAGTTTCTAATAGTTCAGGAATTTGTTGTTTCTTTGTTTTTGCACTTTCTGGAGCTCTAGGACAACTATCATTAAGATGAACTTGCATTCTTTTAGCTGTACCTTGTTCAAAAACTTTAGAACAATAATTACAACGTACAGAAGGATGTGTTTTTTTCTTAGACCTACTACTTTCTTCATTACTTTCTGCTTCAGTAATTATTGTCCAATGTTTCCAAACAGTTCCCTTTTTTTTTACCATGATAATGAACAATAAATTTGCAAAAAAAAAGTGTTTTTTTAAAAAAAATTTATCTTAAAAAAAAGATCATGCAATATGTAGATCATAGATTTAATCAATATTTATATTAATTAATATTTAATTGTGTAACAAAATAATGGATTATCATTTAATCACATGATTTAAATTCTGCATTTTGATTGGCTAATTATAAATAACGGTTAATTAACCATTTTAAATCAATCATAACTAACAAAATTAACGGTTAATTAACCATGGTTAATTAACCGTGGTTAATTAACCCCCATCCCTAACTGTCTCTGCTGCGTTTTATTTTTTACGTGTTACACCTGGTCCTAAATTTCATTGGCCATTACACGCAACGTGATATAGAATTAAAATCGTGATCGAATATTTTTGTAATAAAAATAAATAAACTCGCAAATAAAAAGTTCAAGATACGAAAAAAAATATATCTAAATAAATAAATAAATATTGGTTTTTTTTCATTTTTCATTTTCAAAATTGTAGACGAAATTAATCAAGGAGTTAAAACTTGAAAGAAGGGAGGATATTTAATTGTACTGCATGTTTATAATGCAAAGTCTTGTTACCCTTGAAACGAATAAATACCTATAAAATTAATTAGAAAAATAAAACAGATAACCAAAGATTTGAGGTTTCTCTAAGGGTACTTTGGACAATTAGAACATATCAGATTAGGTATTATTTTTATTAAATCATTAATGAAAGTTTCACAATAGTTGACGCATTAATTGACACTATCAGGGATGTTTATTTCTTTCGGGTAAAATTTTATAAATTGCATGGTTCCCACATAAATACGCCTTCATAAACAGCTTTATGATTATTAATTTCTTGTTGTTGGCTACGAAGAAGATTGTATCAAAAATTTATGAGCTAATTTAAAAAAAAGAGATAGTTCCGTACTTCCGTTAGACCAGGTGAGTTAAAAACCATTTACTGTATACAGTCAACTCTCTATAAATGCACCCTCTATAAATGCACACCAGGGACGATGATTTTTTGCGGCGGTATAAAGTAAATTTTGTGTGTGATAAAGGTAAATTTTGTGAAATTTTGTGATTTGGCCAGAATTATGCAAGGTTGGCCAACATTACGATTCGTAAATTCTGGCCAAATTTAGTGTCTGCCGGAATTATAATAATTTCAAATCCTAAATCAGGCCAAAAACTTGAAAATTATCAACATTTTATAGCCAAATTTTGTGATTTTCTGTGAAATTCTGTGATCACAAAAAATCATCGTCCCTGATGCACACCCTCTATAAATGCACATCCTCTATAAATGCACACTCTCTATAAATGCACCTTTTATCTAGTCCCAACTTGAGCCTTAATGCTAAATGCATGGTTTTTATATATACATATTCTGTAATGCACCCTTTATAAAAAAAAATTTATATAGTTTACTTATAAAATTTTTGTATTACCTTAATGTTAGATTAATATCATATAGATTTACATGTATTCTATAATTGTACACCCTCTATAAATGCACTCTTATACCTGGTCCCAAGGGGTGCATTTATAGAGAGTTGACTGTAATAAGAAAAATCGAACCTCCTCCTGAATGTTTAACACACCAATTTTCCTTCATATCCGTTAAACCTTTCCTTAACATATCTAAATACCGCTTCAGTCGCCTTTTGATAATCCTCACTTCCTAACCCTGCTTTTTTGTTGGTCCATAAACATTGATGGATGATATTAATATTATCCTGCAGTATTTTATGCATACCATTTTCGAATATACGACGCTTGGCAAGAATATTACTAAAACAGGAGCGGGAGAGATTTTTACCGACAATCATTTAATCGAAGGTACTGTACATTATACCGAATTTGTACCGACAAAAATATTTATTTCTTTTTTGTAAATGTTGAATTGTTTTTTTTTTTCTTGAAATGACAAGCAATCTAAAGCATAAGACAATTACCAATTAAGAAAATTCAAAATCACGTACAAAATTTTGATATCAGATGACAAATGTAAATTACGTCAATGTTAACTTAGTATTTAATATTTCACAAAATGAAATGTATAACACAATGCAAAAAATACTTACTTTCATAATTTAATTAGTACAACAGGAAATTGTATTATTTCGTACGCGGTCAACAACAATTTTTTTCTTAACTCTTTCCTTTCGTATTCGGATGATACCTTATTTGTTTATTATTTAATAGATATACGCGCTTTCTTTATTAGATATTTATAAGAATATAACATATAAATTACAAATACCCCATTTTTTATAGATAGCATAATAAATGACTAATATTTGTCGGTAATTGATTATTGGTATAATTAATGTACCCGTCGATCAAATAATTGTCAGTGAAATGATTGTCGGTTTAATATACCTAACCCCTCCTTAAAATAACTAAAATAACTAAAAAGGCTGAAAATCGTCTTACTGACACAGTTATTACGGAGGATTATCCCCGACAATTCTATCATCGACGGACATTTCACCTACAATTCTATCATCGACGGACATTTCACCTACAATTGTTTCATCGACGGACATTTCACCTATAATTGTTTCATCGACAGTCATTTTACCGACAATTTGTTTTATCGACAGTCATTTCACCGATAGATAGGAGGTTCATTTCACCTACAATTGTTTCTTTCTCAGACAGGGACCACAGGGATCATAGGATGTTCATTTCACTATAATTGTTTCTTTCTCAGACAGGGACCACAGGACCATGGGAGGTGACAAATACTATATAAAAAAGATTCATTTTTAATAATAAAAATATTATTATTAATATCAGATATTAATTAATCAATATTACGATATTTCATAATTATTCAACGTATAAGTCGTATAACGTACCTGAATGTACTAAATAAATTAAATAATTAAGAATTAGTTAGAAAAAAAAAATATTCAGTTAGCCGATCAATTCCTGAGGTAATATATTTTTTCTAGTAACCCCAATTTTTCAACAATCTTATTTTCTTATCAGATGACTTATGCCGCAGTATAATAGTAGGTATAATGCTTGGCAACGAAAACATAATGGGAAATTAAAAGTGTCAAGAAATGAGACAATGTATCACATGACGCCATTTTCAAAACCATTTCCGAACTTTGGCATATATCTCTTGGGAAGTCTGATATTTTAAATTACAAAGTCAGGATACAATAATATGAAAAACTAAAATTTATTTGTTCAAAAGACCAAAAATCTTTTTATTTTTTTTTATGTTTATTTTTTTTTTTTTTTAAAAAAAAAGAATAGTCACATGATTTATAATAATACTTTCAATGACATAAAAATTTAAAATATGAAGCCCAAGAACAAAAAAAAAATACTTTAAAAAAAAAGAAAATAATTTACGTTGAAAAATACTTTTAAAAAAATAATTTACGCTGCTGTTCCTTTTAGAAGAAGAAGTTAAAAGCAAAATCTCTCGATTATACTTTTAGAAACTTACCGCGACTGTCATATTTCGTAAAAATTAAATACTTTACTAAACAAGAAAGATTTAGATACTACAAATTTTGTTCTTATAAGTTATAACCTTTCTCACCAAAGTAATTATTTTTCAATAAATTTCATCATTTTCATATTTTTTTTTTTAAAAAAAAAATAAATAAATAAATAAATAAATACCTGATACTTTTAACAAAATTACGTGTTTCTGTTCTTTATGATGATTAAAATGAATTATACAATAACATGATAATTATACAATACGATTGTTTTTATTGTTTAAACATGGGTTAAAAATAAAATAAAAATAAAAATAAAAATAAATAAATAAAATAAATAATTTTTTTTTATTTTAGATATATATTTATTTATTTATAATACAGTATATATTCTATTTTAAAAAAAAAAGAAAGAAAGTGATTTATTATTACCCAAAATTCATAAATACATTAAAAAAAAAATTAAATTACATTGAATATTATTTTTTTTATTTTTTTATTTTGTACATTTTACACAAATTATGATGACACTACACATTATTTATCGTATTACAAGACTTATATAAAAAAGGGAATTCCCGGAAATACCTTTTTAAAAAAAATTACTAGGAAATTTTAATAAACACAATATATTTTAATTAATAATGATTATGAAAGGTGAACGAATGATAAAACGAAACTGTAAAAATAAAATGAGAGAAATTATTTTTTTATATCTACCAATGAATCATTAATTATTATTAATTATTTCATCATTAATTATTAATTATTTCTTAATCAAATAAAAATAGAAATCAAATCATCATCAAATAATATTTTTTTTTCATTGACAAATCTTTTCACCGAAAATAATATTTTTTTTAATCGACAATACTTCTCATCGACAAGACATAATTCAATAATATTTCTCGACAAATATTTTACATCAATAAATATTTTCTTTATCGATAATTTAATTCTTCGGTAATACAGTAAAGTATTTCTCATTGATAATATTTCCCATATTTCTCATAGATAATATTTCTCATTGATCATCAATAATTAATTTCTCATCGATAATATTTCTCATCGATAAATATTTCTCATCGATAATATTTCTCATCGATAATATTTCCCATCGATAATATTTCTCATCGATAAATAATTCTCATTGATAATATTTCTCATTGATAATAATTTCCTAAATAACAATTTCCCTATCAATAATATATTTATATAAATATATTATACGAAAGTTGAAACATATAAAAAGTTTAAAACAAGATTCAAGGAGACAATAAATAAAAAAGCAAGTATATTTATTATTTTCATGTAATAAATTATGAATTCACTCGTTTGTTTATATTAATTTTTATTAATTACTAGACAAAATTCGTTAGATTCAAAATAATTTTTTTTGTGTATTATAAAGATCACAATCATGGGTCATCGTGGCGAAAAATACTTGTAATCGAAATCATTTGCTTTTTTTTTTTTTAAAAAAAAAAAAAAAA